TTCCCACTGTCTGCCTGGCCAGGCTGGTGCAGAGACCCAGGAAGGCTTCCTGGAGGAGGGGCCTGGAGCAGTGCTGGCAGGCAGACAGAGGCAGCCAATGGCCACAGGTGGCTCTGGGCACTTCAGTGCAGCCAGTGCTGCAAAGAGCAGGAAGTTTCATTTGACTCCATTTGAGCAAACTTGCATGGAAACAACCCAGGCGGCCGCTATGCTGGAGGGCGCTGAGCCAGCTGGGCTTAGCACAAGATTGCAAGGTCAGGGCGGGGAAGGTTCCGGGTGTCCAGGTCAGCCTGCTGGCCCTTCCTGCAGCTATGATGGGGGAAAGCATGTTCCTCTGCTGGCCGAGGGATGGGCTGACGTGAGCCTGGAGGAACGCGACCCCCAGCCTGTGGTGTCCTCACTGGGCAGGCAGGGAGGTGCTGGGTCACCCACGGAATGCCAGGCCAGGCAGAGGAAGACCTCCTCCACGAAGGGCAAGTGGCCAGTAGCCAGAGGAACTGCATTCCAGGCCTGGCTGGTCACAACCAGGAAGCTGGCTGGGAGGGGACCGAGGGCCTGGGGGACCCTCGGGGCTCCTGGCTGGCCACTCTGTGGCCCTCGCCATGCAGTTGGCCCAGCTGGGAAATCCAGGACCTCGCTGGGTGCGGGCAGACAGGGGAGGCCTCAAGGAGGTTGACAGAGGAGGCAGGGGGGAGACGGCTGGCTGAGGCTGGGCCACATACTCTGACATGTGCTCAGCAGAGATCCATCTGGATGGCGATTTGTGTGTTGCACCAATGTGACCTGTGCCCCGTCGTGTGCTGGGCCCAGGGGGTGCTGCAGGGAGCTGGACAGGGACCTGCCCACGGGGCCCTGGACGACAGATCAGAGACTAACAAATAGTGAGCCTTCAGGGTGTGGAGGAGGTAAGAGCTGAGCAGGGCGAGGGGTTAATGCTGAGACCACCAGTGGAGGCCATGGGGTCACTAAGTTGGGGGGAGGCCCTTGGGGCGCAGGGACATTGCCACTGAGCACATAGGCAGGGCGGGCGGCTCCTCCAGCCCGAGTGCCCTGATGAGGCTGCTGTGACTAGTCTGGAGGGGCGGCTGGCTAATCAGTGGCCAGTCTGGGCTCCTGTGGTGTCTGTGTCCCAGCAGGTGGGGGTGGCCTCCCACGTCCAAGGAGACAGAAATGGCACCCTGCGCGGTGCACATGCTGGCAGGGAGCGGGCTGGCAGAAGGGGAGGTCACAAAGGACATGACTGGGACTGTAGAGAGGTGATCGCACACGGTGGCACACGAACTGATCCTGGAGCTGCAGCTGCCAGGGGCGGGGAGAGGCTGGGGAACGGGGCACTCTGCCAGATGGATGGACAGATTAAGTAGATCGATGGATGGATGGATGGATGGATGGACAGATTAGGTCGATCGATCAACAGAGATAGACAGATGGATGACAGGTGACAAGTAGGTAGGCGCTAGGCAGATACATCAACAGAGAGATCCACAGATGGATGGATAGATCAACCAGTAGATAAGTAGATGGATCAACAGACACTTAGGAAGACAGACCGCAGACAGACGGCAGAACGTAGACAATCGGTGGATCCAGTGGAAGGTGGCCCATGCTGCGTTACTCTCACACTTTCTGTAAGTTGAAAACTCCAAACACAAAGTTGGAGGGACACGTGTGGTGGTCAGAGCGGCTCTGTGGGCTGCCGGGCACTGGGAGCCACGGGGCTCTGGGGAGACGAGGTCACGCTTGTACATGCACAGCATGAGGTATCAGACATGCAGAGGGAGGCTGACAGGCCTTGGGGTCTGGCATCTGGAGGGAATGCCTGGAAGGGACGTCAGTTTGGAGCGTTGGCCTGTGGACAGCATGGAAAGCCTGCAGCTGGGGGAGGTAGGTGCAGGAAAGAGGGGTGGAGAGGGACCTGGAAGCCCCCAGTGGCCAGTATGGCCTTGCCCTCACCTTGTTCTGTGCAGCCCTGCTACAAAGGGCCCTGACCTGCACACTGGACAGGCGGACAGTGGGCCACTTGGGGCCTGGGCTGGACAGACTGGGTAGGTGGGAAACAGACCTCGCCAAAGACACAGGAGGGGCTGCGGGAGTCCGTGGCCAGCTTCCACCAGCTGCCCTGGCTGCAGCTTGGGGAGGGGGCGGGTTTAGGAGACAGCAGGTTAAGCAGCAGCACAGACTTTGGGAGCTTCTCCGACAGGGAGAGAAAATGGGGACAACAGCTGGCAGGAGAGCAGGGCTCTAAAGCTATGCTTGGCGTGACGGAGCGTGTGTCCGAGCTCCACAGGGGGCAGCTGGAGCCCAGCGAGCCAGTATCTGGAAAGGGGCCTTTGGGAGGGAGCCCTGATCCCACTGGACTGATGTCCTTGTAGGAAGAGGAAGAGACACCACAGTGAGACGGCACTGTCTGCACGAGGAGAGAGGCCTCCCCAGAACCGACCCTGATCTTGGAGTCCCAGCTTCCAGAACCTCAAGAAACATGCCTGTTGTTTAAGCACCTGCTCCGTGGTATTCGTTATGCAGCCCGAGCTGACTGACGTGCTTAGGAAAAAGGGTATGAGACCTGTTGAAAAACTAAACACAGAGTTACCACACACCCAGCAATTCCACTCTGGGTATATACCTGTGATGTTGTGATTTACAGTAAGAAACAGGGATTCGGTCTTGTCCCGTTCCTGGCACGGAGCTCCCAAAACCCCTGGACTCTCCTGTGATGAGAGCCATAAAGGGGTCTTGACAGTCACAACAAGCCTTTCAACCACACCTGAGCTTATGCTAACGAGGTGACTCTGGACAGCCCCTGAGGATGGGGCTGGTCCCCAGGGGTAGGGACCCTGTGATTAGAGGCTGGAGCTTTCAGTCCCACCCCGGACCCCCGGAGGGGAGAGGAGCTGGAGCTTCAATCAATCATCAGTGGCTCATGATTTGATCAGCCTGTGTGATGGAGCCTCCAGAAGACCCAAAAGGTGGGTTCCGAGAGCTTGTGGGTCAGCGGGCACGTGGAGGTGCCTGGAGGAGGGCGGTGTGCTCGGAGAGGAGGTGGGAGCGCGGGGCGCTTTCCCGGGCCTGTTCCTTGCGTCTCTGCACCTGGCTGTTCCGAGTTATATGCTCTCACTAGAAACCGGCGATCTGGCAAGCGAAATGTTTCCTGAGTTCTGTGAGCCGCTCCAGCAAACCTGTCCAACCGGGGAGGGGTCGGGGAGCCTCCGATCTGGAGCCGGTGGTCAGGAGCGCAGGCGACGCCCGGACCTGGGGCTGGCGTCTGCAGCGGGGCGCTCGCGGGACTGAGCCCCGACCCGCGGGGTCCGGCGCTGTGTCCAGGCGAACGGCGGCTGGACGAGTCGCAGGCGGGCCGCTGCGGCCGCAGACGTGCGTGGAGCGCGGACCGCACACGCGCCGGCGTCCAGAGAAACCGAAGCGAGGGGCAGCGGCGCGCACACCCAGCCGGGCGCAGCGCGAGCGCGAACCCGGGGCCGCCGGCGGGGACCCGACGTTCCGGACGGCGCGCGGCGGCAGACGACGCGAACGCGCCGACGCCCGCACAGCGCTGGGAACGCGGCCGCCCGGACGGCACGGCGAGCAGACGCCCGGCAGCGCGCAGAGCCGCGCAGGCGCGCCGAGCGGCAGCGGCGGAGCCGGGCAGGCGGCTGACGGACAGCGCGAGGGCCCGCCCCCGCCGCCAGGGGCCGCTGTGGCGCCCTCCCGCCCCGCCGCCGCACGGGCCGCCCCTTCCCGCCGCCTTACTCGTGCCCAAGATGGCGGCTGCGGCATTGCTCCGCGGCACGGCTCCGGGGCGCGGCGGCCCGGCGTGGCGCTGGCGGCTGCGCGCGGCCCCGGGGCGCCGCCTGGACCACACCTCCGGCCTTCACGGCGGCGACGCCGCGGGCGGCCCGGCTTGGGCCTGCTTCCCGCTGGGCGAGCGCGCCCTGCTGCGCGTGCGCGGGCCGGACTCGGCGCCCTTCCTTCTGGGGCTGCTAACCAATGAGCTGCCGCTTCCGGGTCCCGCGGACGGCGCGGGACCGCCCCCGGCGCGTGCGGGCTACGCCCACTTCCTTAACGTCCAGGGACGCACGCTCTATGACGTCATTCTCTACGGGTGAGGGTGGGCGGCGGGACGGGGTCGCAGGGGGAGGAGGGCACCCGAGGGAGAGTAGGGACACCCGGGGAAGGAGGGCACCCAGTGGAGGGGCGGGCACCCGGGGGGAGGAGGGCACCCGGGGGCGGGCGTCGGGGGACGGGAGGGCAGCCAGGAGAGGGGCACACGGCGGGGGCGGGCACCCGGGGGAAGGGAGGACGCTCGCGGCCGGGGCACCCGCGCCGGGCAGTCCTAGGTGGGCCGGAGGGGTCCCCAGGGATGGGTCCAGGACTCGCAGCCCCGGGCGCACCCTCCTCTCCCGCTCAGCCCTGCCGGTCGCACTCTCCCCGGTGCATGGAAAAGCGGTCCCTGGCACCTGGGGCGCGACTCGGGGAACCGCCTGTGTGTGACCAGCTTGTGCCTTGACCTGCCACGTTCTCCGGTGTGCACCGCATTTCCTACCAAGTCTCCTCGTGCCCGGAGGTGGCGGTGTTGGGTGCTCACGCTACGCTGGCTGTGCTTGGTGGTCGTGGCACCGGCTCCCTCCACGCCCGCAAGCGACTCAGGCCGTTTGTGCCAGGAAGTCACACCCCGGGCTCCTGTGACCTGACCGCTCTCTCCCGCCTGCGTCCGCCTGAGAACCCCGCCGTCCCCCTCTCCTCGCGGGTCCCCCTCCCCTCTCAGGCCCCCCTCCCCTCGCGGGTCCCCTTCTCTCTCAGGTCCCCCTCTCCTCGCAGGTCCCCCTCCCCTCGCGGGTCCCCCTCCCCTCTCAGGCCCCCCTCCCCTCGCGGGTCCCCTTCTCTCTCAGGTCCCCCTTTCCTCGCGGGTCCCCCTCCTCTCGCGGGTCCCCCTCCCCTCGCGGGTCCCCTTCTCTCTCAGGTCCCCCTCTCCTCGCAGGTCTCCCTCCCCTCTCGCGGGTCTCCCTCCTCTCGCGCGTCCCCCTCCCCTCGCGGGTCCCCCTCCCGCCGCGCTCCGCCGCGTCTGGCTCAGTTTGCTCCTGTCCTCTGGAGGAGCGCTCTCTGGCGGCCTGTCGGGCGGTGACACACGAGGTGACCCTTTGCCTGCCGGGTCTGCAGATGCTCCGGCCTGCTCGTGTGGTGGGCGCCCATCTCCGGGCAAAGACCGCGGCCGTCCTGCTCCGAGTGTTTGTGTAGGAGCGGGCGCCTCCCTGCCCCCTGCCTTTGCGCGTGCGTTTTCCCGGAGCTTTAGGGGCTCTTGCTCGCGGTGTCCTGCGGCGGCATGATGCTGTGTCGTGTTTGGGTCGTTGCGGTTGTTGCCGCACTCGGCGGCTCTGACTGTGGCGGAGGGTCGGGCAGACTCAGCCCGCTGCCTGCAGAGTCTCGTTGTCCTGGAATGCTGCCGGGGCCGTTTGCGTACTATCTGGGGCCGCCTTGCCGTGATGGCAGAACTGATAGGGACTGTGTGGCCCAAGGCTGAACTGCTGACTGGCCCTCTGCAGAAAACCTTTGTGACCCCTGCTGTGTGTCCGGTTTCGACCTGCCATCATTCTCCTTCTCTTGTCTCTGCTCCTTCTCCCCGTGCTGTAGTGTTGGAACTGTGTTCGCTGAATATCTTGAGTCCGTGTTAGTAATTGCCAGTAGCACCTGTTCTGATCATTACTGGTTTGAATTTATCAGCGTTGCAATCGTGTTGTTTTGATCCCAAAATTTCTTTCCTTGTGTCCACTATTTGCCCTTACATCTTTTTGTTTTTCTAAAGATTTAAAAAATTTTTTTCCTTTTTCTCCTCAGGGCTCCCAGGTACATAGTGTACCCCAGGTACTTTTTAGTTGTGGGTTCTTCCAGTTGTGGCATGTGGGATGCCGCCTCAGCATGGCCTGATGAGCCATGCCATATCCGTGTCCGGGATCTGAACCAGCAAAACCCTGGGCCCTGGGCGGCCGAAGCAGAGGGTGTGAACTTAACCACTGGGCCCAGGGCCGGTCCCCTGCCCTTACGTCTTTGTGCCTTTTTGTTCTTGTTATAATGAATTTATATCCTCATAAGTTGCTGTTAACCTTAAAGATAAAAGAGCCAGTTATTTTATCAGTAAAATGAGTTTATTCGGGAATAGCCAAAGAATTGCAATTCAAGATGTGCATGCTATGGCAGACCAGAGGCAAATCCAACAAACAGGGGCGAGGAACATCATTTTATAGGAGAAAGGAGGAAATTGGGAGGGTGGTTCTGCATGAAAGTCCATTGAGAAGAGCAGTTCAGGGTGATGGTGGTTTCTCATTGGCGGAGTCCCTGGGGTCGTCGACTTCTGTTTGGGACGGAATGCATATTTCTTCCTGTAGTTAAGAATTCTTTCCTGTTGACTCTTGTTGGGGTCTGTAACTGACCTCGAGTGGTACTGCGGGGGAGCTCCCCCTTCTGGCCTCCTGACCCTGTTTTAAATGAGGTTTCCCTTACTAATTTTTACATCACTCTACAGCATAAAGTAATTTCTCTTTGTTTCTTGTTTTTTTTCTCCTCGCACTTTCCCTCTGGTCTGGAGAGTCTTTGCCTGGCTGCTGGCCCAGCAGTTCTTGGCCCCGTGCGTGCTCGTGATGGCCCTTTCCACACATTGCGTGTGCCCTGCTGTGTGCTGGTGAGCAGTTGTTTTTCTCGCCTGGCTCATTCCTGAGAACGGGGAATCACAGTGCCACTCGCTGTTCTTTGCACTGAGAGAATTGGGGGCCACTGAGGGTGAGGTCCCCTGAGCCCAGTCTCCATTCTGATTCCAACTCAAAGTCATTTGTGGGGAGCATTGTCTGGAGGGTGGGGTGTTGGTTCCATCAGAGAGAGATGCCCCAAAGTGAGGCCCTGCTTCTCCGAAGCAGCAAGGAGGGAAGAGGGGAGCACACCCCCTGGATGGCTGCTCCTGGGCCCGGGGGGTTGGTAGGCAGTGTCCAAATCTCTCTCAGTTCTGCTCCGTGGTGTGGGGTGCTGGGGGCTGAGCCCGCTGGCCTTCCACACTGCCCAATGCCCTTGTTTGGTCTGATGCCTCAGTTAGTTCACAGGGGCAATCCTGCCCAGCCTATTTGTTGTTGGCCATTTACTGATATCTGATCTCACAGAGGTCCCTCTCTGGGAGTGGGCGCCTCCCTGGAAACCGGGCTTCCTCCTTTCTCTCTGCTCACTCTTCATGGGGTCTTCTCTGCTGCCTCTCTCTGGAATCTTTCAGTTCACCTCTCACGCTTCTGATTTCCTATTCTCGAGTCATTCCTTCTCAGGGCACCCTCTTGTTTCCTGGATGTAGCACCTTTTCTCAGAGGAAGCTTTAGTTTTTTCTTTTTAAAGTAGACTTTTTGGAGCAGTTTCAGGTGCACAGCATAATTGGGGGAAGGAGCAGAGATTTCTCACGTACACACAGCCGCCCCCTTTATCCACATCCCCACCAGAGAGGTACATTTGTACAGTTGATGAACTGACATGGGACCGTCATTGTCCCAAGTCCATGGTGCACATCAGGGGTCACGCTGGGTGTGGTGCCTTCTGTGGGTTTGAACAAATGCACAGTGACCTGGATCCAGCATCGCAGTATCAGACAGAGTGGTTTCACTGTCCGGAAAGTCCTCTGTGCTCCACCATTCATCCCTCCCTCCCTCAGCCCGTGACATCACTGAAAGGGTCTTGCACGGTCTCCCTGGTTGCTGTTCCCAGAGTGCCACATGCTTGAAATCGTGCAGTGTGGAGCCATTGCAGACGGGCCTCTTTCATGGAGTCCTGTGCACTTCAGCTTCCTCCGTGTCTTTTCATGGGCTCACAGCTCATTTCTGTACAGCGCTGAAGAATCTTCCACTGTTGGGCTGCAGCACAGTTCACTCTCTTATCCATTCGCCCCCTGAAGGACCCTTCGGTGGCTTCCAAGTTTTGGCGGTTATGAATAAAGCTGCTGTAAACATCCGTGTGCAGGTTTTTGTGTGGACGTAAGTTTTCAGCTCCTTTGGGTAAATGCAAGGGGCATGCTTGCTGGAGTATATGGTAAGAATATGTTTAGTTTTGTAAAAACTGCCGACCTGTCTTCCAAAGTAGTTGCAGCATTTTGTGTTCCAGCAGCAGTGAAGGAGAGTTCCTGTTGCTCTGCGCCCTCACCAGCACTGGCTGGTGTTTTTGGTCATTCTGGTATGTGTGTGGTGGTAGCCTGTCGTTACATTTGCATTTCCCTGCTGACATGTGATGTGGAGCATCTTCTCATATGCTTATTTGCCATCTGTATTTTGTTTGGTGAGATGTCAAGGTCTTGGCTCATTTTTTAACTTTTAAACAATTCAATCTTGTTATCGTTGAGTTGTAAGTGGTCTTTGTCTGTTTTGGATGGTGGTGCTTTGTCCACGTGTCTTTGAGGTCTTTCTCCCCATCTGTGACTTATCTTCTCATCCCCTCTGGCTGTAGTCTTGCGAAGGTCTTCTCTCTCTCTCATCGTATGTGTTGGCCTCATTCTCACCTGCAGACTTTCCTCAATTGCTGGTGCTGAAGGAGATGCTCCTGGTTCTGGTCCTGCTGTGCTGGCTTTTATGGGATACCTTCAAGGCTGTGTCTGCTGGTCTCTGGGGCCCCTCCTGCTGGGGCTGCCCCCCAGGATGGGATGGTCCTCTGCTCCCTTGTTTCCAGGCGGGGCGTGCTCCCTTGCCTCCACGCCTGGTTCCCCTGGCGCGGACCTCAGCGGTCCCTGGGTGCCCCTGGCAGAGGGAGGGTGGGGAGTGCAGCTGGGTATGCTTCTGCCCAAGACCCACTCAGCCCCCATCTAACCTGAATCTCTCCTGTCCTCCTGCCGTGGCTGCCTGCTTCCCTGGCTGTCTGCTTCCTGCCTCGTGGGGGCGTGTGGGGCGCTGCGTCCTCAGTCCCTGACGGGTGCCCTGCAGGCTGCGTTCCCAGGGAACTTGGAACGTGGCAGTCTGTCACGTCCTCGCACCGTCCTGCAGCAGCCCAGCGCCCCAGGGGAGCTGCTGCTCCTTAGCAGGGTGTGTGGGTCCGTCCCTGTGTGCCTTGTCCGGTGCCCACCAGCCCCTTTGTGCTCTACCCGTGCCTGGCGCCCTGGCACCTGCTGCCTCCTCGAGGGACCCATTTGTTTGTGAAGACCCTGGCCCCAGGCAGAGTGGGGTCTAGAGCTGTGCTCAAGGAGAGGGGGCCCTGTGTTTATGGGGGTGCTGGACACCAGGCGCTCCTGGAGGAAGGTGGTCTGTGCACTCCAGGCAAGGGCTTAGGTGGGCTTGGCCCTCCCTTTGTGGGTTTCACACAGCCTGCCCTGCATGGGAGCAGAGTGAGGGTTGACGCCTGGGATGGCACTGGCACCATGTGTTCATCCAGGTCCTCCCAGCCAGGCCGGCTGGTAAGGCCACAGCTGCCCCTCCACCTCCTTCTTCCTGTGGCTGCTGTTGTGCCCCCAGGAGGGGCCGCTGGGCTTAAGGAGGAAAATGCAGGACACTAAGGTAAATCTCAGACAGACAGTGGCTTTTTAGGGAAGGATGTTCCACACAGTGTTTGGGAAATACTTATACTAAAAACATTATTTGCTGTTTGTCTGAAATTCAGATTTAACTGGGCATCCTCTAGTTTATCTGGCAGCCCTGCGACACCTGGGGACATCTGTGATTGTTGCTCCGGGGCTGGGGCGTGGATGCTCCTGGCATCGAGTGGGCTAGGCCCATCGGTGCTCTTGGCTCCCTTCACCTCCCAGGGCGGCCCCACAGAGAATGCTCCAGCCCAAACGTTGGCTGTGCCAGGCCAGGAAAGCCGCCCTGGCACAAGCTCACCCTGCCTTGCCCTTCTGCCGACCTGCCCTGTTATCAGCTGGGGCAGGGGGAGTGGGGTGCACTGCAGCTTTGTCCCCCGGAGGGGCTGCCTAGCACACAGTCATGGGCACAGGTGGCTCAGAAGGTGCCTGAGCCCAGAATCTGGCCCTGTCCACCTGCCCGCCTCAAGCCCCATGGAACATCTACCCCTTGAGTGAGACAGGTGACAGCCCTGGCCCACTCACCCCTGCACTCTGGTGGCCCCTTTCCCCTTCTTGGGGCCTGTCCCCTGGCTGGGTCACCTCCCTTCCTGGCCAGGGCCCTCTGAGGTTCACTCTCCCCCATGACCTTTCTGCCCCCCCACGCCCGACTCCTCCCTCGCCAGTATTTCTATACTGTCTCTGCTGCCTCTGCCGAAGACCTAAAAAATAAAGATTATAGCTGCATGTGGTTAAAAAAGCCTAGTAACACTAAAAGGTTTTTGATGGAAAATGACTGCTGCTTCCTTTCTCACTGGCATGGACCCACCCTACCCAGAAGCAGCTCCTTTTTTAATTAACATTTTATTTTGAAATAATGATAGATTCACACAGAGCTACAGAAAAAAATGAACAGGGTAGTCCCATGGACCCTTTACCCAGTTGCCCAGGGTTGGACGCGGGCCACCCACGGCGCGGGCTCAGTTTCCTCCAGACTTCCGGTGCTCACGGGTGCCTTGTGCTTGCAGCTCTGTGGCTTAATGATGTGTGTGGGCCTGTGTCACCTCCACAGGACTGAGCTGTCCATCACCACCAGGCCCCTCTGCCCTCCGAGGGCCGCCCGCGCGCCCCACTCCGCCCACAGCGCGCGTTGGCTCCTGTGCGCTCCGTCTCGCGGCGCGTTAGGAAGGCGGCTGCTCCGACGCTGTCCGGGCTCGCGTGGACGCGTCTGCGCGTCCCTGGGTTGGTGCGGGGGGCGCGGACGCTGGCTCGCGTACCGGCCGCGCGGGCAGCTTCATACGGGGCTGCGCGCTTCTCCAGAGCGGCCGCGCGCCCCAGCCCTGCCCGGCCTCCCAGGGCTCCGGCGTCCGTCTCCGTCGCCCCGATGGCGCAGTGGTGTCGCGCAGCGGTTGTAGTTGGCGTTCGCTCCGGACAGTGGCGCGGAACGTGCTTTCATACGCGCGCTCGGCCGCCGCAGCCCCTCGGACCCCTTCCAGCAGTTTCTTCTGGCGTTTGAACCCCTCTCTGTGACGGTGAATTCCACCCCTCAGCCGACTTCATTGGTGACGTGCTGGGAGGGCTGCTCTTCCCACCCTCCTCACACGTCGTTCCCATCCCGAGAGGACCAGGGCTGCTGGCGGTGTGGACCAGTGTATGGACACACAGGAGTGCACTGCAGGATGAGCCACAGACATGGCACAGGAACAAGCCTCCGTAGCTCCTTCCTCTGTGGGTGCGGTGTGGGCACTGGCTGGTGGGCTCCGGGGGTGCAGTGGGGTCACCAGCTAATGCGCTCTGGGGTGAGGCGTGGGCACCAGCTGATGTGCTGTGGGGGTCAGGTGGGGGCATTTGCTCATGGGCTCTGGGGGTGACGGGACACGAGCTGATGGCCTTTCTCTCCTGCCCTGCCCCTGAGGGCCTACCTGCTTGCCTGTCTCAGCTCTCCCCGCTGTGGGTCCTTGCTCAGTCCACATCTACAGCCAGGACCCGGCCATGTACTGGGTCCCAGAAGTCTCCCCTGCCCCCTTCACGTCTAAGGCTGCCCAAGCCTGTCTGTCTCCCTGCTCATCCGTTTGTAAGGGCTCCGCTGTCCATCTGGTCGTCACACCAGGGTCTGGGGTCATTCCAGGGACGTGGGCTGCTCAGAGTGCAGGTTAGGGCGCTTCTGGGGCCCTCATCGGTTCCGGGGCTCGCCTTTCGAAGGGAAAGGGAGGAGGTGGGCGGTGGGCGTGGGCAAAGTGTGGCTCCCTGTGTCCCTCACCTCTGACACCACTGTCCCCCCAGCTCCTCCCCTCAGCACCCCCCCTGAAATCTGTGCGCGCTGCCTTAGGGCCCTTGGCTTCCCGGGTCTTCAGTGTGGCCGTGCGCACCTTGCTACCTCACCTGGAGCGCCGGGCACCACTGTGGGCGCCCCGCCTTTCCCCCCATGCCGGGCCTCGTCCCGTCCCACCCAACGGTCTGCTGTGCGGTCCGCGGGCTCTGGGTGGCGCCCTGGGCGTGCGCGCGGCTCTGCCTGCGCCTCGGCGGCGAGGGTCCGCAGGCCGCCGGGTCCCCAGCGCTCCTGCTGCGCACCGGTGCCCGTGCTCCGGGCGCTGTGCTGCTTGTGGCCGTGGCCCGGCTCAGCGCCCTGGAACCCGTGGCGCCGGGTCCGCACCCACGCGCTCCCGCCTCTCCCTGCAGGCTCCTCGAGCGCACGGACCAGGCGCCCGCCTTCCTCCTGGAGTGTGACCGCGCTGCGCTGGGCGCTCTGCAGAGGCACCTAGCGCTCCACAGGGTCCGGCGGAAGGTCACGGTGGAGCCGCGCCCCGAGCTGCGCGTGTGGGCCGTGCTTCCCGGCTCCCCGGAGGAGGCCTGCGGGGCCGCACCGCTGCAGGAGCCGGCCGGGAGCGTCGCCATCCTCGCTCGCGACCCCCGCACCTCCCGCATGGGTTGGCGGCTCCTGGCCGAGGGCCAGGGCCCGGCCCTGGTGCCCGGAGGCCGGCTGGGGGAGCTCCAGGATTATCACCGGCACCGGTATCAACAAGGTGGGGCGTGGGGCTACCTCGGGGTGCTGGACAGCCCGAGGGACAGAGTGGGAGGCGCAAGCCTCGAGTTGGACCATGGCTGGGAGGCAGAGAGGAGTAGACAGGACCACAGCCCTGGGGAAAGCACGTGGTGGGCCAGGGGCAGAGGGGAGAAGAGAGTAGGGTCATGGAGAGGGGTCACCTCTGCTGCCTACGGCAAGGCCAGCAGAGGTGCTCCCTGGGCCAGAGGGTGGGGGGGCCCCGGAGGATGGAGCTCCTACCAGGGGTGGGAGGGGCAGCACACCCAGCCCCCGAGGTGAGCCCCAGGTTCTGGAGGACACCTCAGCTCTCACTGGGCCTCCCCCTCCTACCCCCACAGGCGTTCCCGAGGGGGTCCATGACCTGCCCCCAGGAGTGGCCCTTCCTCTGGAGTCCAACCTGGCCTTCATGAACGGTGTCAGCTTCACCAAGGGCTGCTACGTGGGCCAGGAGCTGACGGCACGCACCCACCACATGGGGGTCATCCGCAAGCGCCTCTTCCCGGTGCAGTTCTCCGGCCCCCTCCCTGCCAGCGGCATCGCTCCCGGCACCTCCGTGCTCACGGAGTCGGGGCAGGCAGCCGGCAAGTACAGGGCAGGCCAGGGGGACGTGGGGCTGGCCCTTCTGCAGTTGGAGAAGATCAGGGGCCCTCTCCACATCAGAACTGCCGAGAGTGGCCGGGTGGCTCTAACCGCATCAGTGCCGGACTGGTGGCCCACAGCCCCCAAGTAGCCCTGAACGTCCCACCCTTCCACAGGCCCAGAGGGCCTCTGTCCACCTGCCTCGCCCTGCAGGGCGGCCCCATGCAGAGTGACCCTGTTGGACACATGCCCCTTTGGGTGTGGGCCTCCCAGGGCTACATGGGTGGTGGGTGCCTGCTGCGGCCCGAGGTCCCAGCCCACCATGCTTCCTGTGGAGAGGTCGGGTGCTCAGTGTGGGCCCTCCTCTGGCGGCTCTGTGCTGGGGTGGCAGGCCCTCCCGGTTCTGGGGTGGGAGAGCCAGGCTCCGCACCCCAACTTCTACCAGACCCTGGATAATGTTCCATGCTGTGTCCGTCTGGATGCTGTTTGTCTGTCAGCTGAGGACAGGACTCTCCAGGGCCCTGCCCCGGACCGCCCACAGCCCCTCGGCCTGCGCCAAGTCTGAGGGTGGCGGGCAGGGTAGGGGGCTCTGGGATTGTCTTATTGCGCTGGTTGCGGGGCATGTCTCCAGTGGGAACTGTGTGGGGCTGGGTGGGAGTCAGCATCTCTGTGTGGAGGGAGGGGCGCACTGCTCCTGTGGCCCAAGTCTTGTGGGGCACTCTGCATCACAGTGCTGGCTGTGGGAGCCCTGAGACTGTAAAGTGCCAGGCGCCACGTTTCAGAACTTTACCCATGGGGTTCAGCAGCCCCCTTCTCCTCCTAGAGCCCCCGTGAACATAGGGACGCCTTGCTTCCTCCTTTCACCCGCTGCTTTTTGTCATCCTGCTGCAGTGTGGACCTCGTGCTTGTAGGGTGTCCTCCGGATGCCCCTAGCGAGTATTAAAGTGTGACCCCAAGCGGCCCCCGTGGACTCTGGCTTCATTCTGGGTGGAAGGAACTGGACGTGGCTCTGAGTAAACCAGGTATATTGAGAAGCTCTGCCTTGAACACTGAGGACAGAGATGAAATATAAGCGGAGTTTCTTAGGTTTGCGGGCTGGCAGGAGGAAAGAGGCCTCAGAGGCCGGGACAGTGAGTGAGTGTTGAGTCTGGAGGAGACTGGGGCCCTGGGGACCCTTAGCCCTGGTGTGGGGCCCAGGGCCAGAGGCAGCCAGGCCGTGGGAGCGGGCCCAGAGCTGGGAGGGAAAGGCCGAGCTGGAAGGAGCCGTCCTGGTGCCAGGTGGAGCCAGCAGGACCCCCTCTGAGAACCTATAGTCAGATGCAGCCTGGAGTCGCCCCAGGACACCAAGAGGAGAGGGACATGTGGGCTGTGAGGGCCCGCCAGCCCAGCAAGGCGAGGCTCCCCCTCAGACCAGGAGAGGGCCAGGCAGTTCTGACCCCAGCACTGAGCAGGTGGTGCGTGGGGTGCTGTCCTGGGCACATCCCCTGTGGTGAACAGAGCCAAGAAGGCGGGTCAGCCTCTGACACACAGGAGTGGCGTGGTCCTCATGACACAGAAGCAAAGGACACAGGAGTCCTGTGCTGGTGTTGCTGCGGTCACTGTCCGCCCGAGAGGGGGCCTTGGGGCCAAGACCAGCAGCCACCAGGGTCTCGGTTCTGCCCGTGGCGCCCTCCTTCCTGTCTGTCTCCCTAACTGACCATCAATCGGGGTGGTCAGCACTTTGGCCTTGGAGGAAAGTCAGGAGTACCAGGATGTGCCTGCTCCAGCCGTTGAGGCCACTGGTCAGAGTCGCTTCTCTGCCTGGCTGCAGGCTGGCCCATGCCCCTCGGTCTGTGTGGCTGGAGTGCAGGAGCAGCCCCATGGGAGGGCCTTCCCTCTGAGGTGGGCCGTTCTGAGGCTGCGAGTTAGAGCGCCAGGGCGTCTCCCTGTGGCCCCCGGGATCGGGGGCATGCGTTTTCCGGGCAGCGGTGTTAGCAGAGCACTAGAGCCGCTGGCTGGCAAGGCCTGACATGGGGCCTTGAGTAGACAGGGAGGGAGGTGGCTGGGTGTTTTCAGTGGGGCAACTTCCTGGTGAGATGCCGCCTCGGAGATGGTGCATGCAACACATGTCCTCAGGATGTTCCAGGCTCCCGGGACCCTGTGGTGTTTGGCCTAGACCCAGAGAAATCTCGTCCCGGTTCCTCCTCAGCGTTTTCAAAAGGAAGGTCCATATAACAAAGCACTGCCTCTGTTGGACACACCAAAGCAGTTACACAGGATGCTGGGGCTGCGGCCACCCAGCTTGAGTGGCTCCGAGGAGCCTGGGAGCAGGCGACGGGGTCTCAGCGCTCTCTTTACCCTCCCCCCACCCAATCTCACAGATGAGCCTCTGGAAGCTGCTGCCGGACTTGGGAAGCTCTGCGAGTTTCACAGCTGCTCTAGTTTGCTTCATAAAAACAATAAAGTTCTGAAAAATAAGCTGGCAGGGTAAAAAAAAAAGTAACTCCAGTGGTAGTATTTCCAGGAGCCTGGCACGTGGCCTTGTCCAACTCAGGCCTTCTGTACCAAAGGTTCCAAGGCATGCACTTTCATTGTTAGAAGACCAGAAAAGCCAGAAACACTCATTTAACCTCCAAAGAAACAAGAGTCAGCTGACAAACAGACAGTAAAATCAAACCCACAAGTTTTCAGATACTGGAGTAACCAGACACATACGGTAAGTATATTTAATATATTTTAAGAAATGAAATAAGGAATTTAAATATTATTGAGAAGCAAGAGATGATAGAAATGATCAGGCAGAGAACTTCTAGAAATAAACATCTTTTATTTTTAATGCTTTTTGGTGAGGAAGATTGGCCCTGAGCTAACGTCTGTTCGGCCTCTGAACCCAGTGTGAATCCAAATGACAAGAGCAGAGTCTTGGGTGAAAAGGAAAAACAGCTTTACTTTCTTTGCCAGGCAGAAGGAGCAAAGCAACGGCCAGTGGCTTAAGAACTGCTAGCTCGTCGTTAAAAAGTGGGTAGGGGTTTCTAAAGACTGGGGAACGTGGCTGCTTGTGGGGGGAGTCGGGCCTTGCAGGTCCGAGCTCTCCCACCAGCCTGTGTTCAGCCTTGTGAGGCTGCTTGCAGAGATGAGGAGGTGAGGGAATCTGCAGGTGGGCGCCCGTGGTCGTCTGCCTCCATGGTGGGTGGTGGACTCTGGCGCCAGGAAGCCCAAGAGCTGGGCCCGGGAAGCTCCGGTTTCTTGATATTCTCTGGACGGTAGCTTTCCAGTGATAAACTTCAAGGACTGTGATTAGCCACAACTTTAGTGGGAGCCCAGCGTGAGGCCAGCTGCGCTTCAGCTATTTGTAACTTCTATTTGGTCTAAAGCTCAGGGAATCAAAGGTTAGGGAAACAGACGTTTACACAAGTGAAACAAGAAGCAGGAGAGGGGATGAGTGCTTCTGGTTGTAACCCCACACGTGCTGGGTCCAACGTAGGGGAGCTGACGTCAGGCGGTGCTCATTACAAGCCTGTAACAGGCTGAGTTCCCACCCTCTCGTCACCTGAGCCACCTCGTAAGCACAAACACACTCCCAAATGGGGTGTAGACGCCGACCTACAGAGTCAGCATCAGATTTACCCACGCTTTACCTCTTTCCCTGTGCATGTCAACCTTGCACTGAGACTTTCCCTTCTGGGACTTTTGCTACAGGACTTTCCTTTTGCTGAAAGTCATCCTTTAGAATTTTTTTTTTTTTTAAGATATTTTTCCTTTTTCTCCCAAAGCCCCTGGTACATAGTTGTGTATTTTTAGTTGTGGGTCGCTCCAGTTGTGGCATGTGGGATGCCGCCTCAGCATGACCTGATGAGTGGTGCCATGTCCACGCCCAGGATTTGAACTGGTGAAACCCTGGGCCGCCGGAGCAGAGTGCGCGAACTTAACCACTCAGCCACAGGGCCAGCCTCGTCCTTTAGAGTTCTTTAAGTTTTAAGTTAGGCTCTGCTGTGGCAAGCTTTTTGTACAATTCTGCACCCAATTCCGATGTGAGGGTTCTTCCCCAACTTCATGCAGTTCTGCGACTACAGCGGGGGTCCCACCGTTCACCCTCGTTCTGACACGTGGAGATGGCGTCAGACCCCCACAGGTTAAGGGCTCAGTCCTACAAGACCGCCTCTCCTTCAGATGCCAGGTGTCACCTGTGCACCTGACCACTGGCTCCAGATCAGAGACTCCCTGACCCCTCCCCGGTTGGACAAGTTTGCTGGAGTGGCTCACAGAACTCAGGAAACATTTCACTTGCCAGATCACCGGTTTCTAGTGAGAGCATATAACTCAGAACCGCCAGGTGCAGAGACGCACAGGGCAGGTCTGGGAAAGGGCCCCACACTCCCACTTCCTCTCTGAGCTCACTGCCCTCCTCCAGGCATCTCCACGTGCCCGCCGACCCACAAGCTCTCAGAACCGTCCTTTTGGGTCTTCTGGAGGTTTCATCACATAGGCTGACTGATCAAATCATGGCCCACTGGTGATTGATTGAAGCTCCAGCCCCTCTCCCCTCCGGGGGTCCGGGGTGGGACTGAAAGCTCCAGCCTCTAATCACGAGTTTGGTTCCCCTGGGGACCAGCCCCATCCTCAGGGGCTGCCCAGAGTCACCTCGTTAGCATAAGCTCAGGTGTGGTTGACGGGCTTGTCGTGACTGTCAAGACCCCTTTATCGCTCTCATCACAGGAGAGTCCAGGGGTTTTGGGAGCTCCGTGCCAGGAACGGGACAAGACCGAATACGTATTTCTTACTATAAATCACATCACAGTGTGAGAATGTCTTATTTAGGATGAGACAGTTTTGCTGCTATGCAGTTTTAGGCTGTTAATTTTTCTCTCAGTACATTGAAGATACTATTCGCTTTTCTTCTGGCTCCCACGGTTGTTTTTGATAAGCCACATTTTAAAAAAAGATCTTGTCTCTGCTTACCTTTAAGATCCTCCCTCTGTCTTTGGTTCTGCACTTTCACTAAGATGTGACAGGGTAGAACTTTTTATTCATACTGCTGGGGACCCACTGGGCTTCCTGAGGCTAAGAGCTGATGACTTCCATCAATTCTGGAATGTTCTCAGCCATTTTGTCACCAACTAGATACCCCGAGGAACTCACGGGTGGGTTTGGACATTTTAACGTTTTCCAAATTGTTCTTTTTCCTTTTGTTATGTTAAGGAATGCCATCACCAACCACCCTGAACCAGACTAGGCCTCGCCATGAGAGCTACACCTGTGGCCTTTGCCTTATTTTTAGTGCTAAGATCTTTCCAGGAAGAGCTAAAGCCTTATTCTCATCACCTGCAGTGTGTGTGGGATCACGTTTTCCAACTGAGGCTGCGCAAGAGGATTTCCACCTCTCCCTTTTGAATATTCATTCCCCATCCCAAATGTCCCTGCTTCCCCGGGGCACTATGACCCTGGAGTGATTCCTCACGGTCTCCTACTTGCCGCAAATAGACCTTCCTTTGTGAGACAACTACTTCTGGTGTAGTCTGATTTAACTCGCCAGGAGAGAACTCACTTGGGTTTCGGTAACAATTATTTCTTTGAAATAACAATCTCCAGGGAGAGCAGGGCTGGAGGTCCCGCTGCACAGACGCTCCTGGGCCAGGAAGTTGATGAGCTTCCAGGTTGGAGCCCTGGAGGTGCTGGGGCATTGCCCGGAGCAACCACGGGGCTGCACGCACCACACCCCATGCTCACCTGTGCATCTCTCCCATTTGGGTGGTCGTGACTCGCATCCTTTATGATAAACCAGTAAACCCAAGTGTCTGCTGAGCTCTGAGTTCTTCTAACCCATTATCAAATCAGAGTAGGGGGTTCTGGGAACCCCAAATTTATAGCCAAGTGACATGAGTGCTAGTGGCCTGGGCACCCCATTGTGACTGGCATCTGAAGTGGGGGCAGTCTTGTGGGCTGAGCCCTCAAACCTATGGGGTCTGTGCCGACTCCAGGAAC